AACAAATATTATAGAAACTAATGCACATATTATTGAGTTCCGACCATTATATAGTCCCTTACCTTGGGAGACATTCTGCATGATAAATGCTGTCTCTTCATCTCTGTCATGAACTGTAACATGCAAGCAACCAATACCTTTTTCTATTAAAATCAACTTTTTGAAAGAAATATGCACCAGAATAAGATAACAGGGGAAAAAGAACTTTATAGCACAATGGAAGGATATTTAAAAATAAGAATGATCTAAGCACAATATCGCCCTCCTAGCCTACTCTGCAGATAGAGGAAGCTGTACGCAGACACTGCCCATCTCAAGAGATCACTAGAACTTATTAGACTAAAGCAAGGATCGTGCTTACAATAGTCAGTAAGAGAAACCTAGAATTTGAACAATCAGATTAAAAGCTCTACCTAAACATTTCCTACAGTCAGCTCCAGTGAGGAAAGAAGGTCCAGGAAGCAATATGAGGAAGTTCTACCACTCCAAAGATTCTCCCATGATATTAGTCTCATATTTGATAAAAGAATGAACATGCTGAACATATACATCACAAGTCTTCACTAAACACTACCAAAAATTTCTAACGAGCTTCAAAAATATACTTGAGGAAAATAAAAGAAGAATCACAGCACTAAAAGGCAATTTTTACCCCTTTTCCCTTCATTCGGTTGGGGATATCATCACATGTTGATTTATAGAACAAAATCTAAAAATTTGCAACAGTGGAGTTTGTAAATCATACTGTACTAGAGTTGGATTCGAGATTATCCACTGTACCCATCCTTGTAAATATACGATCAACAACCCTTATAGTTGAGAAATTAGCAGGAACATAACAACCTATCTGTGCAAGAATAATTATGAGACAGATTTGTTGAAGATAGTGCTCTTTCCACTCCTGAAGGAAACAAGAATAGTATCAAAACACAAGCATAATACAGAACTCAATCAAATTATTCTTTTGTGAAAGCCAAGTTATCAATCAAAAAGTTTAAATGAAGAGCTTTATTATCATAAAAAGTAGCTGAGGTTTAAATTTTAGTTGAGGTCACCCCTGCAGATCCTAGGCTCGTGCCCCTACAGATGCCTAAGATATAATTTACAGTGTTAAATGCAGAATTTACCCCCACTTTTTGCTCTCAACATTTATCTTATGCTAGTTTACTGCAAACTCTTTGCAATAGGATCCTTCAACTCTGCATTCGGAACGGGATGGATAAAAAGGGAGAAGGCATCGCCACCTCATTCCTAGGTAAATTTTATTTGTCCAACCCATAATCTTCACATTAATGAGCAGTGAAATTTGAGGTGACTAGGTGAGTATATTGTTGTCAGCAGCTCATCAATTTTACGGTTTTATGCATGTGAAATTGGGTGCACACGGATGTCAAATATTAAGTAAAAATAAATCATCTGGGTATTCAAACCTCTATGCATATTCCAGTAAATCATATTAGAAAAACATGGTGCATCAAATGACTTCAACTCATGCCAGGAAAAGATTTCATACATACATGTTTGGGCCGGACAATCAACATGTTTTGATGCTTCTTTTAAAAAAGATATTGTTGGCCTACAAAGGAAGCAATTGATCAACTTTTAAGAGCAAGGCTGAATTTTAGAAAAGTAAAAGAGAAAGAGTTGCAAAATTTTCCTATTAAGAAGAATCTAAATTAAGCAATAAAATAATCGAAAGATAAATCAACGTACAACAAACTCATTATGTATGCTCTCTAGGATAGGATGTCTTCCAGAATCGATTGCAATTGGGCCATTCTCTGTTAGTAATAGACATGATGAAGCATTAAGCCACTGAAGGGAAAAAGAATATATTGAAGAAGAGTTACTAACCAGTAAATTTTGGTCTAGTATATCTGTCAACAGGCTTAGTTGATATTGTATGAGCAAATGAATTAACAATCATATCTAACAGGCACAAGACCTCTGCAAGCAATGTGAGCACAGAGACATCCTCCCTTATTGAGTCTACCAATGCTACATATTGTATAAAATTACAGTAAGCAATGAATAATTATGGCAGCATGCAGCAAAATATTTTAAATTCAGATTCAGAATTGACATCCGTACATTTTAATAAAAAGTAAGAGCAGTAATTTAGAGGATAGGATAATTAAAATTATAGGGGTAAGCACGGGTAGCAGGTAGAATCGGAACTTGTGGATAGAACCGGAACCAGAACCTACCTGAAACCGACACTGTGTGGGTAGGTTCCGGTTCCTACAGGTTTTGGAATCGGAACCTGGGAAAAGAACCTGAAGCGGGTACCCAGCTTGGAATTTGTTTGTGTTTTGGTTTTGATTGAGAAATTTTATGTGACTTGTGATGATTTGATTGAATTCAAGTGTTGCCTAGAAATTAGAGGATTTATGAATCACATTGAACACAAATGAATGAATAATAAAAAATTGAAAACTACTAAATGGAGGTTTTCTTAATTTGTTAGAAGTGTATTTGTAAACTTTTAAGGTATTTTTATCATTTTTTAAACTAATAAGGGGTAACTATTTTTTACAGGGTACCCAGGTATGGAACCGAAACCTGCATTTCAGGTTCCGGTTCCTTTAATTTAAGAACTAGAACCAACAGGTTCTGGTTCCGGTTCAAGTTCCTTTTTTTGGGAACCTGCACTGTGCGGTTCCAGTTCCGGTTCCGATTCTCCCGAAAAATGCAAGGTACCCTGAACCGCTCAGGCTAATAGGGTATGCATATAAAGTATTTATATTAGATCTTTAAATATTATAGCCTAGCATGAGAGAAGATAGGCATTGAGAAAAACATAAATGAAGAGAAACATGCCAGCTAAGTGTGATAACAACCATGATTGCAAGTCCCTCATTATCTTCTCTCACCAACCATTACTGTACTAGGTCACTAATCCCTCTTGACCCCAGCAGAAGCATACATGAAGAGAAATATGCCAGCCAAGTGTTGTGATGACTATTTTCCACCAAAACTAATTTTTCAGAAGCATTTAGCAACTGAAAATCCAAATTGGAAATCGATGAAATTCCAATGATGTGAATTCACATACTATATCCATCCAGCAAGCAAATATTTGGGTAGTAAAATAGTTGTTGCTTAATGAGCTCCATGCTTCAGGAAAAGAGCATTAAAAAAATTAAGCACTTTACTGAATAAAAAGTTCCATCAGTTTCAATGGAAGTATTTGGAGCTGATGATACCAAAAAGATAACATAATAAGTCTATCACAACCTTCCAGGCAAACTTCAGTTCGTATATAGCACTCCCCAGCCGCAGACTTATTTCTGACATTCAACTGAAATTTTAGTGAAATAAAGAAAAACTTATGAAGATATTTTTCAAGATCCACAAAGACATATTAAATGCAGANCTATTTCAATTTTACCCTTGTTTAATTAAAATTTTGGACAATAATGCCCTTATATTTAAAATAATTTACAGACCACCACTGCCACCCAGCCACCACCACCACAGCCACCCAGCCACCATCGCCGACAGCGGGTCAACCACCACGGACCACCGCCGGAAAATTGTCGGAGTCCCTAAAAACACTGGAAATTCTGTGGGAGACTCCGGGAGGCTTCGATATGGCCGTTTTTGGCCATATTGATGGCCGAAAACGGCCATATCGGGCCAGATCTATTCTGGCCGGAATAGATCTGGCCGTTAACAGCCAGATCCGTGGCCGTTAACGGCCAGATCTGGTCCAGAACTGGCTGCTAATGGCCAGGGATCTGGCCGTTAACGGCTAGATCTGGCCTGATATGGCCGTTTTCGGCCATCAATATGGCCGGAAACGGCCATAACAAAGCCTTCCGGAGCCTCCCATAGAATTTCCTTCTTTTTTAGGGGCTCCGGCGATTTTTCGGCGGTTGTTCGCGGTGGCGGCAGGAGGTGGGGGTGATTTCATCATGAATTAAAGTTTTTTTATAAGTGGGGGTGTTTTAGCTAAATCTGAAATATTGGGGGTTAAAAAATTATTCAAAAATTAATAATAAAAATAATATTATATTAATATTTAAAAGAGGGTCAATTTAGTAATTTAAATAACATACCCACCAATTTATTCCCATAACCAAACATATTAATATAACATACCCACCAACTAACCAAACATATTTTCTTAAAGATTCCCAGTAATCTTCCAAGGTAATCTATCTTTCCAGTAATCCAATATTCCCAGTAATCTAACATTCCTGAACCAAACGCCCCCTCAATATTATGTTCCCTTCCCAAACATGTCCTGTTAGTCAAGTGACATTAGAACTATGAAGAACAGCAATGGACTCAGCCCATTACGCTGTGAATCATAACTTGTGCCCTATGGACCATAAACCCAACGGGCAATGGCGTCGTGGATATGATATCGAGTTTTCTGTTGGGACACACAATTTAAATGGACGGCCCAGATCTCTCCTTCCCGATAACTCTCCCTTTATAGGAGTTAGCCTTACAAACCCTAGCTCTCTTTGCAAGCGAAAACTCTAGTCACACAGACAGCGCAATTCAGCTCTGATCTAATGGGTACTCTCTCCTCTACCTGTGCGAATTTCTGCGTAACTTTATTTAGTTTATGGGTTTTCTGAACTTAACGTGTTTGTTGCTTGATACGTTGTGATAAAATGGTTTTTGTCACCCCATTTTGTTGGTGTTATGAGTGAACAATTTTAGTTGTCATTACTAATATGCTATGGAGTTAGTAGTGAGTTATGTGATGTGGTTTTTGTGAACACGCTTGTATTTTTATGTCCGTTTCATGGCTGATGTGCGGCTTAAGCACAAGAAAGGAAAATGAAAACAAAAACAGGTTTTTTTTTTTTTTTTAATATGTCTTAAATGGTTTCCTGAAATTTATTATGCTCAAAAGAAATTTGATTTTCTGGGTATAAAATGCTGTGAGTGTTATTAAAAATAATATGTATTGGAAGATGAATGTTAGTGGTTTTTGAACCGTGATTGAGTTAATTTTATGTTAGTATTTATTTATTGGTTTGATGGGAACAGGAGCTTACACGTATGTCTCGGAGTTATGGAGGAAGAAGCAATCTGATGTGATGAGGTTCTTGCAGAGGGTGAGGTGTTGGGAGTACCGCCAGCATCCTTCAATTGTTCGGGTCACTCATCCTACTCGTCCTGACAAGGCCCGTCGCTTGGGCTACAAGGCCAAGCAGGTAATGTGTTGGTCCTTGTCAGGTTCTAGTTACAAAACATAAGCCTTATTTATTGTGATGCACTGATTTACTTTAGGTCATTACCTTCTGAACCCATCATCAGTTGGTTTTGCATGCTGACATGTTCATTGCAAACAGAATCCATATTGATGGTTTTACTTTAGTCAAGAAAATTGCAGCTTTAGGGGAGGTAGAATTATAATATTTTAATAAAATTAATCACAAAAAGTTATCTATGTCTGTTCCATATATTGATCATAAGGGCATTGAAAAGGAATAAAAATTTTGTTTCTGTACCACAATAGGGGCTTGTTTTGGATGTGCATCATGCATATAGTTATGACTAGTGAGCTTTAAATCATGTTCTTATTTGTTTCATTGCTGGTTAGGTGGCATCTTGATGCGTATTCATCTCTATATGGGATGCTTATGTTCAATGATGGGGTGCTTCCTGATACCAGCTAAATTAAATCAATAATCGATTATCTGACTAAGTGGATTCTATTATCTTTAATCTCACTTTTGTCTCGATCTGGTACACTATTGTGCTACTTTTCAAATTCTTGCATTGTTAAAGTATATTCATTGGTTTAATTCATGATCACGTACTTTATTCTTGTTTTGCTTATGATATTGTAAGTTCTCCTGTGCATATTTCTGGCCACACTAATTAATATATGGAATGTGTTTGTCTTGATCTGGATGGTGAGCATCTTCATCATCTTTGTTGACGCTGTGATACTAATGTTTAAACTTTATAGAGTCATTGGCCAATTTATTTTTGTAGTGTGAATTACTTTCAACACTCAGTAACATCAATATGGTTTACCATAGTCTTTGTGATATACTTTCTTTTTTCTTGGTCTCTTATGATTTTATTTGTGTATGTTACTTTAGTTATAGCGCAAAATAATCTATCATATAAGGATGAACTGAGTTGTTATTAACCAATTGCTTGTTCTGTTAATATTCTCCTCTTTGGGGAAGCAGTTCATTTGTTATTTTTGTGCAGTTGATGAAACTGCTTAAATTGCTTTCCAGGGTTATGTCGTTTACCGTGTTCGGGTTAGGCGTGGTGGGCGTAAGAGGCCTGTTCCCAAGGGTATTGTGTATGGTAAGCCCACCAACCAGGGTGTCACTCAACTGAAGTTTCAGCGGAGCAAGAGGTCAGTTGCTGAGGAGCGTGCTGGTCGTAAGTTGGGAGGTCTCAGGGTTGTTAATTCATACTGGATCAATGAGGTTTGTGTACTAACGCTAATTTATGATTGCCCTTGTAACCTTATTTTTGAAAGTTGTTGGATATAGGTGTTTTAAAAGCTACTTAATTTTTCTCAATGCAACTCTTTTTGACAGGACTCCACTTACAAGTATTTTGAAGTAATTCTAGTTGATCCCGCACACAGTGCTATCCGCAATGACCCAAGAATTCATTGGATCTGCAACCCTGTCCACAAGCACAGGGAACTTCGAGGCCTCACATCTGCAGGAAAGAAGTACAGAGGTCTAAGAGGAAGGGGACACTTGCACCACAAGGCTCGTCCGTCTCGCAGAGCTACCTGGAAGAGAAACAATACCCTTTCTCTTCGTCGCTACCGTTAATCTTAGCATGTGCTTAGTATTACCGTCACAGTGTGGATTTTGTCTGGAGGACATAGACATAGTTGTCATTTTTGAGTTTTTTAGATTGAAATACTTGGAGCGTGTTCTATTTGGAAGTCTTACAATCTTAATTATGATTCTTGAGTTTCATAATTTTGCAGTGAAATAGTTATTTTAAGATGTTTGGCTTCTGGGTTAAGATCTTGTTCAGTCTACAAGGAAACTAATAGAAAAGCCGTGGATCATTTGCTTTTGGATTTTTCCTTGGCATTTTAACTGGAACGCTGGATATAACTCCTTTGCTAAAGGAGAAAAGGAATTATAGAATGTATCTTCGATCATTAATAATTTTATATAATACCAAAAAAGAAAAAAGTGTCTTTTACTTTTTTAATAGAGACGTCATAGGAAACCTAACCTCCATGCTAGCGAAGTAGTACAAGACCTGCTTAATATTTTAAATATTTTTAACATTCAAAAGATCTGACTACAAATTTCTTACACGCTGTTAATTGAAATTAGATTTTGGCCGAACATGTAATATGGTTTTGTAACAGTCACTTTTCGGGTATTAGATTCACATAGGTATCTTTTTTTAATAGTTTTTCAGGGCAATGTTCAGAAAACCAGACTGGACGTTGACCCGTTCAAGGATCTAGTTCCTGATTTGACCGGTTGGATAGGTCGGTTGGACCGTATACTGTACAATTCTTTTAGTCCCTAAATGTTTAAAATTTATCAAAAACACCCCTAAATAATTACACATGACTCCCTTAAGGTTTGAAATCTATCCAAAACACCCCTATTACGCGAAGAGACTGGTGAGTGGTGGCAGCAACAACGATCAATGGCCAATCGAAGTTTGGAATCGTGGGGCTTTTGATGTATAGATTCCGACGAATCTTATGGTGATGTCAGGGAGTTCTACCGATGTTGGAATTTTCTAAAATCAAGAAGGAAGGTCGACGGTTGCATAAACAATAGGTGGACGGCGATCGACGGCCAATCAATGTTTGGAATGATGGGACTTTTGATGCAGAGGTGCCGACGAATCTTATGGTGGTGTTAGGGACTTATAATGGGGTCAAAATTTGCCTAAATCAAGAAGGAAGTTCGACGGTTGCATGAACGATAGGTGGACGGCGAGCGACGAAAGGTTGGACGGCAGCCACTGAAAATGGATGGGTTTTGTCGTGGAGATGCCGTCAAGTCTTATGATGGTGTTATCTCCCTCGAACGATGCTGAAATCCGACGGGATTGACTCGCGATTCGGTACTATTCCGATGGTCCAACCGCGGCTCAATCCGGTTTGATTAAGAATACCGGTTTTCAAGGGAAACCAGACCAGAGATGACGCCGGTTCCGAGTCGAACCGGTCCGACCGTTCAGTCCGGTCCGGTTTTCAAAACACTGTTTCAAGGGCTTTTGTATAGACACTTATAAGAGAAGATCTAATAACAAGTGGATTTCTCATTCACTTTTATATCTCTTAACTTCCACTTCAGATCTGTCTACAAAACCGTTGGAGAGTATTTCAGCGTTTCAATGAGAAACATCTCTTCCTGTTGAGGCATTATTGGAGCATTTGAATGGTCAACTTCATAGCCTTCTATCAATGTAACTCTCTTTAAGACTCTGTAATGCTTGTCGAATTGAATCCTCATCTTGGCTGGAGTATTTTAAGCATAGTAGCCGTTGGGCAACGTGGTAAGCCATCTGGAGCTGAGTATACTGCGTACAGTTTACTTCCATTCGCTGTACCTCCTGACAATTACAAAATTAACAAAGTTTATGAACAAGGTACAGAAATTGGGTTGGGTTTGAGCCTCTTCATGTTTTCTACTCTGGACTTCCAAGGTTCTGATGTGTATGAATTATATATATATATATGGTAAACTTTTTTCTTCTTTCAAATTATACCATTCTGAATGAGAGCTAAAATGTGTTATTTCCAGGTATGGAAATAAAATCATAGTAAGTTTGTAAAACTTTAAAATGCCAGTGATCAGAATTGTGAATCAAGATTTGTGAACTTGTAGTTGACTAAAATTTGAAAGGCAATTGCTCAAGAAAAATCACCTTGGCAGTGATCCTTGCTGTGATACTTTTTGCTGTTTCGACCACCGAGCTTGGTAGTCCTGCCACTTCGGCTAGTAGAAGGCCATAGTGTGCGACATGTCTTTGCCCATCAGTGAGTTGAAACTGAATTTTAAATAGATCACCATGAGTCAGCACAAAGCAGCCAAAATTCTATGTTGGATTTTGACAAAACAAGATAAAGCCACCTTGAAATCTAAACGGCTGTTTCTTATATCAACATAGAAGTGAACAATTTTCACATTTGGATAGATGGTTGTTAATTGTGACAGATTCTCCATATGTGTGGCGAATATTGTGTACCTGTTGATTATAACAAATACATTAATCTTTGCAATGAAGGTTTGTTTATCTCAAGGGATCTTAAAAAAGAAAGAGAATTAAAACAAAAATACAGTGCGATAAGTCCACAGATTTTATATGCTTTTTCAACTTTTACAACAAACTTGAGGCATGGTAGTAGAAATGTCAGATAAGTTATTACGCTTTCAGTGATAGGAGGTGCTCACAGCAGCTCCATGCAATTGCAAATCCATCAGAAGAAGAAGTAGCCCTCCCGAGTTCATCCATCACTATCAGACTCCTAAACAATAACAAATATTATAGAAACTAATGCACATATTAATGAGTTCCGACCATTATATAGTCCCTTACCTTTGGGAGACATTCTGCATGATAAATGCTGTCTCTTTCATCTCTGTCATGAACTGTAACATGCAAGCAACCAAATAACTCTTTTCTATTAAAATCAACTTTTTGAAAGAAATATGCACCAGAAATTAAGATAACCAGGGGAAAAGAAAGAACTTTATATGCACAATGGAAAGGATATTATAAAAATAAGAATGATTCTAAAGCACAATATCGCCCTCCTAGCCTACTCTGCAGATACAGGAAGCATGTACGCAGACACTGTGCATCTCAAGAGATCACTAGAACTTATTAGACTAAAGCAAGGATCGTCTGCTTACAATAGTCAGTAAGAGAAAACCTAGAATTTGAACAATCAGATTAAAAGCTCTACCTAAACATTTCCAGTACAGTCAGCTCCAGTGAGGAAAGAAGGTCCAGGAAGCAATATTGAGGAAGTTCTACCACTCCAAAGATTCTCCCATGATATTAGTCTCATATTTTGATAAAAGAAATGAACATGCTGAACATATACATCACAAGTCTTCACTAAACACTACCAAAAATTTCTAACGAGCTTCTAAAAAAAATATACTTGAGGAAAATAAAAGAAGAATCACAGCACTAAAAAGGCAATTTTTACCCCTTTTCCCTTCATTTCGGTTGGGGAATATACATCACATGTTGATTTTATAGAACAAAATCTAACAATTTGCAACAGTGGAGTTTGGAAATCATACTGTACTAGAGTTGGATTCGAGATTATCCATTGTACCCATCCTTGTAAATATACGATCAACAACCCTTATAGTTGAGAAATTAGCAGGAACATAACAACCTATCTGTGCAAGAATAATTATGAGACAGATTTGTTGAAGATAAGTGCTCTTTCCACTCCTGAAGGAAACAAGAATAGTATCAAAACACAAGCATAATACAGAACTCAAATCAAATTATTCTTTTGTGAAAGCCAAGTTATCAATCAAAAAGTTTAAATGGAAGAGCTTTATTATCATAAAAAGTAGCTGAGGTTTAAATTTTAGTTGAGGTCACCCCTGCAGAATCCTAGGCTCGTGCCCCTACAGGATGCCTAAGATATAATTTGACAGTGTTAAATGCAGAATTTACCCCCACTTTTTGCTCTCAACATTTATCTTATGCTAGTTTACTGCAAACTCTTTGCAATAGGATCCTTCAACTCTGCATTCGGAGAACGGGATGGATATATAAAGGGAGAAGGCATCGCATCCCATCATTCCTAGGTAAATTTTATTTGTCCAACCCATTAACTCTTCACATTAATGAGCAGTGAAATTTGAGGTGACTAGGTGAGTAGTA